TAAAATTTGAACACTGTTAGCATTTATTTGCATCATTCCAATTTTCAGTCTGACGTATGTGGTTCCTGCGATTCCACAAAAAATAAGTGTTTGATCTCTTACCCCCTTTGTACTAAGGAAATCTAAAGCTGTAGAAACATTGTTAATCTGTAACGGTCTTTTCGTTGAACTTGGTCTCCCTTTTGTCTGAAAATAATATAAGGTTTGTCGTCGATAATTCGGCATTAGTTGCAAAAATTGGATGAGGGGGGGGGGATATATGTCTTAAAACCGGGTAATGATAATCAACACGAGAGTCCACTACTACGAAGAAAGGTGATTATGCTTATTATAGACCCAGACTTGATTGTTCGGGGGTGGGGGGGGGGGGGGGATGTGGTATAGTGTTAAGTTGCAGTAGTATATATCTGTTATGGTCCACTTGAAGAGGCTTCTATGATGTCATATACACACGTTTTAAACCCACATTATACACACAGACAAATGATTTGTTTGTATCAAGGATGTTTCGTGTGGTAAGCCAGAAACAATATTATATATTGCATGAAAACCCATACCACTTTTTCTTTGGTCAGTATTTGTATTATCTCTAATAATATAACTCCATCTTTAACCTCTTCTAGTAGATCTGTCACTCTTCTACTGGAACCATTCTGAAATGTCGCCATTATGAATTGATGAATGGTGTATAGAGAAAAAGGAACATCATCACAATACTAGTATCAGAGTGTTTAAAACCATTTCATAACACGTCCCATTCAAATTATGTAGTCTGGGTTATCCCGGCACTTTAAGATTGTCAAGAATGAAATTAAAATTGGTTTCAGACTTAACTAATAATTTCAATGCAACAATTCAAAGTTTGGGATCCTGCAAAGGCCATTTCCCGAGGGATTTAAACATAGTGCCGGTGGCGACGCCAGCCTTCCAAGACTTGGGGTACAAATAGGACAGACTGACTCAATGGTGGATAACGTCGAGGTTGAATTCAAAATGCGCCAACTTTATTTCTTCACCTTCCTAGACTAAATTCCAATACATATCGCGATGCATTCGGAATTGCGGGATATTTCACCAAAGCAAATATTGCTTAGTCGACACTTACCTTTTTAAGAGTATGGTTGATCCAGTTGGTAAAAGTTTTTAGCTGGATTTTTTGTTGCTGATCTGAAAGGTATTGAATTTCCATACAAAGTTTTTCACCTGCATTGACAATCATATTTCATGAATTAGGCCTTGAATCACCCATGAGTAGGACGTAAAACTCTTCAGAGGGAAAGCTTTGCCTTTTCGGTGGTGGATTTGAGTTTTGAATATGTAAATAGTCTTCAGAAGTACAAGTGCTACTATATGTCTCTTCTATCCAGGGAAGAGTCTTAAGAAAAGGTGAGTCGTCTTTTTAACTTTCAAACGCTGCCAGTGCTGCTTTTCAAATCGTGCGTTGAAATAGACCCCTTACTGTCTTCTCCTTATCATTATCGTATTGCACCAATAATCAATGAATATGGGCCAAATTACGCATCTGGTCGAAAATAAATAAGGTTTTTACATCTCCAGTGTCACGAGGAAGAAGAGCACCACTGTTCCACAAAATTCACATCTGATGAAAATTGGCCTACCTTTCAAATCGTGATGTCTTCGTCTTATATCTATATCCCTACGTAAGGCGTGACGGTATCCAACGTTCTCCATATTAGATGATAATCCAAGCTGCTATATCCCACTATAATAGGCAGTTAACGACCAGTTAAGACAGGTATAAGGCCTATACCACTGAAAGTAATCCATGCATGATGTCTAATAATACTAAAATGTATTGCCCTAATTGAAAGCTTGTATTTGAAACTGTAGACTTTAATGTAATGTTATATTTAGGCCTAGGACTCGACCCTATTGTTTACGTACTGTAAATAATATGTCAAATAGTGAGAACTCGAATAAGTCCGAAGATGTCTGAAATACCATAGATAATATTTACTCTTATGATAATATATGGATGTTTTATCTCGAAAACTTCAATAATTGAATTTAAAGTGTGTAAATATATACCCGTTTCCCGACCGCAATGCATTTCAGACGCTCATTGCACACCTCGAACGGTTATATTATTATGTTCACATGTTATCTATATCCCCGAGCAGAGGCGGCGCCAATAGGGGTACAGGTAGGTAGAGTAGGGACAGAAAAATGGTTTGAACCCCCTATTGCACCTCCACTTCATTCTTAAAAACATCAAACGTGATTTTTTTACGTTTTAGCCTCAAAATATGTGTCAGAATCCATCAAATCTATTTTATTTAAAAAATATATTTTCGAGAGAGAGAGCGAGAACCGTCTCAGAAGCTCCATGAGCCTATGCAGTAACTCGGAGCTGCAGAATTTTGAATCTCCACCACGACAGTTGTCCCCTCAATTAAGTCAGCCTGCCACCAGTACCCTTGAAAGCTGTGGCATTTTGAGAAAGAGAGGGGAGGGGGAAAGATCTGGCTAGCCCCGGTCCTGGGTAGCTCGATAGCCCCGTAGAAACAGTCCTTTGTCATTTACATTAGTGTAAGTAAGACTCAGCTGAGGGACTAATTAATAAGAATGTTTCGGACTATAGAGATATTTATAGACAACTGAAGTTAAAACACCTGTTACCTATATTGCATATTGACCATATATATAGCATAATACTCGCTAACTACATCTATATATACAGTATATTATTCACTGATAGCTCTCTGATTTCTATCGTTAATTGAGCTTGTCCAGAAAGCAAAGTGGTTTAAGATTTGCTTGACTAATTACAGACGTGTGGTATGGGGAGGGGGTTAGAATTAGTGGCGTCTGTTTGCGACATTAGGTGTCGGGACCGAGTAGTGGCGTTTCTAGGAAGCATATTGTTGGGGCCCCGCAGGGGCCACAAAATTTTCCAGGGGACTTCAGGCCATTCTTTCACTATACAAAATGATAACAAATTTAAAAGTGGGGAGGGGGGAAGGGGCAAAGCCAGGTTAGCCTCTTTTCTGTTAGAAACGCCACTGGGGCCGAGTAGGTTAAAGAATTGTCAGAGGGGGTACAATACAGGTCGATGTTGCCAATGACGTTAGTTTCTTAAGGTTATAGAACCGCTGAGAATAGGTTATATCAAGCGTTGGCGGGAAATTTCAAGTATACAATTTGATTTGACTCGCAGATGCTGATCAATAATATATGATAAATTGCAATATTGGCTAATCATAGGATATATTGGATCGCATAACGGGTCATTTTGACTCACAAACTGCGATGCGGTACCACTTACATTGAACCCTATACCAGGCATTTCAGAAATCAATGAAATTTGAAACGGGGGAGGGGGATTGGGGGTCAAAGCCAGTGTCTCAACTAGATGAGTGGGGGCCGTGGACCTAATGGGTTAGGGCTCCTGCCCCGGTGATTTTTTTTTAACACATGTTCTTATGGATTTTTTTCTGGTGGTGGGGGACCTCTTAGCAGTGGACGCCTGTGGAATTGGTTCAACCAGTTACTGTGGTAGTTGAGCCAATGGGTAAAGCTGGGCAATCTCCTTTGCCCAAGGATTTCAAAATAGGGGGAAATTCTTGTGTTTATACTGTAGATATAATAAAATAAACAAAAGATGTTGAGAATCTAAGATTTATTAAAAGATAAATTATCTGAAGAAAATGAAGATAACGTAATATCTTCTTTAGTACATAATCTCGTACTGCCTATTAGTACCTGAAATATATAATACAAATTAAAGCTCACTTAAAGGCTATGATTCGCCATTAACGGCGATTGAATTGGGTCTTGAATATATGTAAATAGTCTTCAGTAATACTGGAAATGTATGAAATATACCTCAAACTAGAAATTTCATTTTCTATATACAAGTATGTCCTTTCTTTAAATGACCTTACCTGTATATCTGGTTTAGTTTTGTTGACAATATCTTGTATATGTTTAACTTCTGTAGGAGTTATTCCACCAATAATATACAATATTAACAATGGATGGTCACTAGGTCGTGGTTTATAAACTGTCATAAATAATCTACACAAATACAAAATATATACACAATTGACATCTTTTATAATCATTCCAGTCAACCAAGGTCTAAATGGTTACAGTTGATTTGGTAAAAATTAATGCCAAGCATTAAGACAGTCTAATTAAAATTAGACCTACTTCCGTTCGTATTTTATTAGTTTCGTTTCGAATGTTTTATTAGCTTTGTACGTCACCACTACGGTAAGGTCTAACACTTTCCTTCTTGATTTTTCATTCTGTTAACCATTGCGTGACCTCTGTTTTAACCAATCACGTGATAGCCCTTTCCAGCGACGGGATAATGTGACGCAAACAATAGGTGCCTT